GCAGCCAAAAGATGAATACGAAGCAGCAACATTGTAACTTTTCTCGTTGCTCAGAAGAGAAATCATGAAACCATGTGAAAAGTCGGCCGTATAAGCGCAAATTGTACCCCCTTAAATAACTCCCTCTCGATTCAAAAATAGAGAATTTAATGAGGGAAGCATTAAAGCTGGCGAAAATAGAAATAAACGCGGAGTCGTTGCATATAAATTTATAGTGGCGCATAATGAATGCTGTAATTCTTCATTAAGAATATCCTCGTCACGTGCAAGAAGCCCACTGTGCCTCGCCTCAGGGTGTTAGGTTGCACCTCGAGAATATTTCATGCGACACAGTTTGCGGGAAAAAATGAATTACATTGTGTGTTAATGAATTATGTAGATGTTTCTGAATTGGTTCACGTGACGATTAATTGCGTCGATTAATCACGATGCAGCAATATTGCAATTTTGATACATTTACCTTAAAAATTCCAAGACGTAAATAATCGATTAAAAAATTGCTAACGATCATCGAGAAACGCGACTCGTTCGCGATTTACGCGAATATATCTATTCAGACCACGAGGATCGTACATTAGGTACATTAGTGCACACATAAGCGTCCGTCGCTATTCCCAGCAATTGTTGAAAATGGGACTTCGGAGTGGAGTTGGAGCGTGCCGAGTGAAACAAAGTATTCGATATCGACTCCTGAATGTGAACAACTGACACTTGAGGCGCATCTCCTCTCTTTTGTTTAGTTAAATTCGCAGAAGTCACCTCCCCACTTAAGCGTCCGCATTCGGTCCCGACTGCGGACGCTTATGTGTGCACTACTGTATATGCACGAAGCGGTCACGTAACCTGAAATAGTTGAAAATCTAGGCCTGAAGGGGTAAAAACGAAAGTACTCGGATTCGATAGCTTACATTAGCTTTGCAAAGCATCCCAGCAATTCGTGTTTACGACATTCTCTCCCTCACCGTTCGTAATTAAATCTGAAATCGCGATGCAAATATTTATCACACAATATAACATTTCAGGTGTGTTTATATGGAACGATGGCAATGAATAATAAGAAACATGGAATATAATATTAAGAATGTAAGTCATTCGTTTAACAACCATTTTTAACGAGCGAAAAAATTGTCAAACCCGGGCACTTCCCAATAAACATCGATAATTTATTAATAATTGCGCAAATAAAAATTAATTTCTGTACAAACAGCGGTGATTATAAATAATTTGCCCACGAATCATGTCGCGTATCGCGCAACGTGGAAATAATCGTTTCGTTGGAAATCGCTGAAAAGTGTAATTTGTCTGCGGAGGCTAATTATACACGGTGGCCCTTAGCAGGATGCGCATTATATCGAACACCTTCAATTTACTTTACTCTGACAGACATTAAGGACCACGTTAATCCAGAAAGATAATTCGATCTTTTTCCCCTGCCGAGCAAGGGATGCGAAGTAATTATTTTCGAATAAAATTCCCCGAACAACAGATGCTCCAAATAATAGTACGTAAGTACCTGGGTCTGGAGCGATTCATTTTTTACACGCCCTATCGTAAAATTCGGATAATAAAGCTTGATTAGCAGCGCGGTGAAGGAAAAAATCGTTAAGCGTCGTTTTTAGTAGAGAAGAGCCATCAGTCATTTCGCAGACTTGGACGACCACACGCGTCTAGATTAATTAGAATTTAAATCCGTGGACGATTCGGCTCGGAGATACACCGCGCGAGGAATTAAATTCAAATATATCAAATTTTTATCGAGATATGCTAATTCCGTGTTCCTTTTCCTTTTCTCCCGATCGTCGTGAAAATTTCGTCCCGCGCGTGCAATGAAATTTTAATGTGTGTCAATCGCGGGATTGGTCGCCTCGACGATAAAAAATATGCTAAGTACCTTCACCTTTCGATAGGCGAGCCGCGGATCTGGAAGACGGTAAATTTCACCGACGCAATAAAATTGCTACACTCTGTGACCCTCGAACGGCAGCGTAACCCTTTGACTTCGGCCGTTTCGTATTTTATGGTAATGGATCTTCGCGTTGGTTATCGAACACTATGTACGTGCAAAGTGGAAACATTTTCCCTTTTCGAATGTTCGGTGTAATATAATTGCCGGTTAGCCGTCCTAGCGATTTCTTTCTTCTTCCGAAAGGACGCAGAGGCGACTCTGTAATTCGAACACGAAGTGGAACCGACCAGCTACCAGAGGAACCGATACAATCGTAAAGAGGCAAATATTATGTCGTAAATTTCGACGGTCGATGCAGCAGAGGAGAAAGGGTAAAAGGTATCGTCCAAGAGTCAGATGTTATATACGAGGTTCGCTGAAGAAGCTATTCATTCCGGAGGCAATTAAAATTGAAAGAGGCAATTAATCGGCACGACGAATGCCCGCCTTTCTTCAAACGAATGTTGAGCATCTCGCTGGGTAACTTATTCCACTGGATCGTAAACTATGTACACATCTAGATCCAATCGCGACAGACAACGACATCCTTGGAAAAAGGTACTTACATATGTGGAGGGTCTTCAAACGGACCGCTCGATATTTCCAGACATCGCTGCCTTCGACGACCATTTGAAATTCCATCGAACACCTCCAGTGTTTTTCTCTATTTTATCTCATAATTATAGTTCTAATGCTACTTTAATTTGCTCGTCTACGTTAAACGAGCTGTAAGTTTTATCCGTTAGAGTAGATTTTTGAGAACAGATTGTACTCACTTCGAACTATGTATTTGCCAACGTTATTTGTGACAGTTTCTCTTTATGGAAGTTACTCTGTTTCTTTCTAGGGAGTCTCCTATAAGTAAAAAGATTGAACGGATAATTTTGGAGAATTTACCGTGTGAAATGTGCTGCATGAACATATTGCGGACCTTATTGTTTACTTTTTCGAAATTAAGACAAAATCGGCGAAATAGAAATTCGGGTAGTAGGTAATACGAGACAGTGTTAGTTTTGAGAGAAATAAATTATGAAACTGCGTTAAAGTGTTGATAAAAACGTTTTAATGGCGTAGAAGTGTCAAATATAACGATCGCAATTTATTTATTTTAGCCCTGATCAAATCTTTTCAGTTTAACAGCTTTGGCAGCTTCTGACATATTTTCTTTGGAATAATTCTTTCTTAGGCCTCTCTTTTCTTTATTCAACTTTGTAATTGGCACCTGAAGGAACGATCGAAATCTATTTTATTATGATAAATTTAAAAATGTGTCAGCAATACGAAACTGTCTCGTATTGCTACTAACTCGCCATTTTACTTTCCCTCCTTACTTATACCGATATACTTCAGATCTTCGTTAATATCCCCAAATTACCATTATTATAGAATAACTTACCTTCTTTGTTTCTTAGAAAATCAGAAAATAAACGAAAGTGTAATTCCACTTCAGTATGCACATGCGAGAACTTTCTTTTGTGGTCGAAACGAGGAACGTCCATTACACAAAAAAACGACAACAGCTGTTATAGTCTTCGTAATAATTAATTTCCAATCGTTGTCGAAAATATCAGTACTGTGTACAGATCGAAATCTTGTTGACTCATATTTCTACCTTATCTACCGCTGATAAAAAGAGGAATTCTTCACTTTACCCAATTTTGACCGGGTTTCCCCTACCAAAGGATAGACCATTCCAAGCGAAATTTTCGTCTCACGGACGAAGAGCAGCGGCGGCGAGCAAAAGCGGCAAGCGAGTTTCGGTCTACCTCGGAGAATCCCTATTCCGTAAGAAGGCATTCCCGCTGGTTCTTACGCGTTCCCCATCGCCAGGCTTATCTCACGCGTGCCATCGGCTCGATTGTGCATAACGTGGACACACGTTGCGTTGATGCGCCGCTCGCGACATGCATCGAACGTGTAATTTATGCCCATCGCGACGCGCGCCTCTGTGCGTCCGTAGTTTACCGTGAATACACACCGTCAAGATACGATTCCAGGCTTGTACCGAGATTCTTGCCAAAGTTTTTTCGACCATGGAAGCAGCATGCCTCGCTGGACACGCACTACGCGCGGTAATCTCTCGTTCTAGAGCTCGCGTCATACACAGGAAGTTACGGTTCCAGGATAAAATGGTGGATCACGTAATGAATTTTGCGTGAAAGATATCGGTGCGTCATAAACCTGGAGAACAAATTGGTAAAAAGAAGACTGAAGTAAAAGAGAGTTGGACGGCGTATTCCTCCTTCCTCCTCCATTTTTGTTCCGCTGTATTCAGCGTGGATCATCCCGTTACAGTTCCTCTCCCGAAGCGCAATGCAACTTGTGTATATTTAGAATTGTAAATCGGTCATGAATGAGTAGTACGAGCAATTCTTTCTTTCTTTTTTTTTTCGAGTAAAACGAAGGTGACGAGAACGGATGATTTAATGGCCCGAGAAAGTTTCTTCCACTCGACTCTTTATCGAGGAGATTTATTTCTAAAGAGTTGAGGACAGTTGAACAGTCGCGGGAAGACCAGAATGAAGAGAACAGTAAGAGATTTCACGCGACGTGCCCGCCAGCGACGCTTGATTGCCACTTTTAATGCTGATTAATCACTGTTATAAATTCCGGTGAACAGAAGTGGCCGGCCGCGTGCGTCTGTTAGAACCTTCTAATTATCGTATTTTCACGGCTACGCCTTCGAGAGTCGTGCTGGCATAGATAAATCAACGGATTACTCGATAATTAATTACCACTGATTATCCTTGATAGAGAGAGAACGCTTAAGAATAAGAGATCATTTTTATCCAAGTAACGAATTATGTCTCACTTGGGAAATAATTTATTCGTCTCTCTACGCTGATTTCAAGCGTTATTAAGACGTATCGCGGAGAGAACGAGCGGCGGTATAATCGAATCCGAAACACACGTATCGCAGGTGTATGAAAAAACGAAGTGAAAAGAGAGAAACGGTTGATTTATTCGACGAAGCGAAGGCAAACAAGCCCCTTCGTCATTCAGACGCGGACGTGGAACGTTTAAAGCTACAGTAATACGTTCCACTTTGTTTCAGAATGCTGTGGGGAAGATGCGTCTTCTAGTTCTGGTCCTCGCGGGCTGCTTGAACCTCCTCGAGACTGTTCGTTGTCAAGAGCTTTCGGTCATCAGACACTCTGATGGAGACATTTTCACGTTGGAAGGTAAGAGTCCCTGGCATCAGCTACAATTATAAACCTTTTTTCCTCTTTTTTTTTTCATTTCTTTTCCAAAGATTGACTCTGAGAATGTTCGAATGACACTTTGACTCGTCTTCGGTGAAAAGAGTCGCGATTGTAAATTGCGTAATCGTGATTTGCAGCGTCGCTAGAGAGACCATACGGGATTCGATATTAAAAAGAACGGTGCGTGAGTGCAGAAAGGCCGCGTGTGAAAAAAGCTCGTAATAGATTAGCCATGAAATTACGATGTAACGATTTGACAGCTGTATCGCACCTGGCCAGATTATATGTCGCGTTCTGCCACGTGAATTTCTTCATCTTAGAAATTTATCTTTACCACATAGTGAGTGTGTACAGTTACTCGTACTCTCCTGGGGGAGACCAAGATGGAGAACGAATGAAATCTTCTATCGACCGTAAAATGGAAAAACTTTCTATACTTTCAAAATCAATGTTCCATCAACAAACGTTACTTTCAAAAAAAGAATATAGAAACGTAGGAATTTTCAGATTTAAAGTTGTTATTGGTTATTAGGAAGTTGGTCGGTTTTTCAATGTAACTTCAGATACATTAAAGGTAATTAAAATAATTTCCAATCTTGAATTTTGCACACCAACGTGAGAAATGTTCTAATATTTACACAACCTTCTTCAAATGCTAAATTTAGATTAGGTCGTCCCGTAAGTTCGTGTCGAATTTTGTAATTTAGATCAATATTTTCGATAAACCTTCGAATTCGATTTAAAAGAAAATGTAAGCGTCTACTATTTTTTTTTTTTGTAAGATCATTATGCCTTCGCTATAGATTTCCTTCGACTTTCGTTGCAATATTTTTCGCTTTCGGCACGAACTTACGGGAGGACCTAATACTTTCAGCAGTTTTTATCACAGTTTTTCCAAGTTCAAAAAAATTACGCGAATATCTCGATTATTCATCGCGTCGCATAGCAATGTCCAAATAATCGTACGAATTACACGTGTAAATTACCTCTTCTCGACTATTGTGTATAAAAATTGGCGATCGTACAAAATTGAATACATCGTAACGACCCGTCAATTTCAGCTGTTGAAAATACCGACATTTCGTTTGCACCATCAACCTAATATTATTCAGGTTCCTGCACAGAGGCATGCACGGTGCTCAGCAGCGGTACGGCCAGCCCTTACACTCGTAGTCCTTCGACTGCAGGACTCGTCCCGCCGAACAACACCTGCACTTGCCAGTGCAACTACGGGCTTCCTACCTTCCGGGAGGATCTTCACATCTGTGTGAATGATATTCATGGTAAGCCTCTTTAATCCTTTCTCCGAATGGTTATTTTCCCATTCGAACCAATCATACCTCTCCTTTCATTTCAACGGAGAAAATAATCCGGTTGAAGTTTCGACATCTTTTTTACGACAAGTATCATTACCACAGGACAGAACATTGTCGATACATATACATATGTATGCAAATATCCCGTCCATACGATTATTGGGAAGAATCGAGTGCACGCAACGGTACTACACACGTGTGTGTTTCGTGATGGTTCATTTCTACTGCGGTCTCCCGAATCATGTTTCAAAGGTTCTCCAATACATCCAATCGATGACGAATCTTGTAATATTCCTCCCCACCAGTGATGCACCTTTCTTCGCTCAATTCTGGGAATACGATGCTTTCAGGATCGTTTTCCAATTGGTGGAGCATACCGCGGACAAATTGGTACAAACATGAAGCGACTCCTTGCGTTCGGTTTATTCTTTTATGGTTAGGTAATAACCCTACAGTACTGATTTTCGACCGATCCGCCCGGAGTGGTCCACAGGTGTGTCGAAAATTTTTGAGGAAAAGAAGCAGTTAGAAAAGTGACGGGAAGAAGTATTATTTTTTTTACATATTTCTTCGTTAGATCGACAAAATGGTATAATACATTTTTTGATGTTTCGTGAAATTTCAATAATTAACTTGTGTGTGCCGTGAGATAGAAAAGGTTCAAAATCGCTGCCTTAGGGCAACAACTGACCAACAACTGGCTGCATAACGATCTCACATTTGGCGGACCAGCGAAACGAGGTGAATTGCAATTTAGCTGTGAGTCGAAAATTTTTCTCTGGTGTAGGGTGCTACTTCAAGTACAATTAGCTTAACCTTTTAACCCTACGAGAAACTAGACCCCGAGACTACACGAATGGAAAGGATGGAAGTTGCAGCTTTTCTGAGAAATATCTTATTGGAAATATTATATTATGCAAATAATATGGAAAAGTAGATGGTGCAACGTGGTAGGATAACAAATCGATCTTCAACTAATAATTTGTTTTATTCGTTTCCCTGTTAGTATGTAGCTCTTCCCTTTGTACGTTCAGCTATGTCTTCCAGCATCCGCGACCAGTTGCATGCACGTACCGTTTTCAATTGAACCGTGTCATCAGAAATGATTGCTCTAGCTGTTCAAGCAAATCGTCATCGTGTCACGTCCTTCTGGATGACTTTGTTGCAGTAGAAGATTGCTATGCAGCAAACGCTATGATTTCGATATTATATATCGATAAATGGAGAATAACAGTCGGACGATTAATCTTCTTGAATTTTCTGAATTGGCATCTGGGTAATATCGTTTAGAAAAATAAGAGAAACGTTTTAGTGGATAAATACAGAGAGCGAGTGGCCTTACTATCGAATGCATACTAATCGCTTCGCATGATGCAGCATTGGTAAAGCGTGTGGTTAAATCAACATAATCAGTGGGTTCCCCTAATTGGATTAATACTACGCAATTATTGGTGATACTGCGTACACGCGGTAGATTCGAAGCCAAGGTCCTTGCATTTCTGATTGCAAGGCGTTCGATTGCCAAACAACAGAGTAATGCACTATACTTAAAAGCTCGTTACACGTCGCTTCATGTATTATCGTTGTCGAATCTTATTCAGAAAACTGTGCACCGCAATTTGAAATGCAGAAACGCCTGTGATTATAGATAACTGTAATGCTTGTCAGCAAATGCAAACGTTGACACGATGAACAGGTAACTGTAAAAAGAAGATATTTGCAAATATCGTATCATTGATAAAGTGCGATTTTTGTCCACCATTTTGGCGTAGAAAAGTGTAGAAGAGGTTGCATTTACATTTAGAAAAATTGTAATTTCATAATGTGAATAAATCAGAGCTGGGTCAAATTTAGAGGAAATATATTTCGAATGCTGTTTTAAATAATAAACGTTGCACGAAAATTTCGGCGAATAAAATATTTTTATTCTAATAATCTTAACCTTGTGTTTCAAATATTTCCACGATGGAAATCAGATGAGAAAGGGAATGATATTGTAACACAAGAAATCATAATATTTGGCGAAGTAAATTTACTTTTAGTTCAAGCATTTTCATCGCTTAATTACGAATAAACTTTATTTCAAAATAAAGCCTAACTATTTTCGATATCCTTAAAAAAAGAATACTACTTTGAAAAAGTTATTGGGACAAATAAACTATTTGATCTTCACAGTTAAACGCACGATTTGAAATAAAATAGTATATACAAATAATAGTTTGCCCAGCTCTGGAACAAATGCAGCCGCAAATTCTCCATTACAGTTATCGCGCGAGAATTTCATTATCATAATTTGCTAATCTTAAGTGAGAAAAGGAGAAGATACGACGTGAAATATATTCACTGTGTTGCCAGATGAGATCTCCACGACCTTTAGAGACACGTAGCAACGCTCTTCATCGATCTCGAATTTCTAGGTTCGCTGGGAATGGTGAAAACACGCCGTGTAAATAGCCGCTGCACTGCGTAGGCGTCCGGAGACTTCGATGCACGCATAAGATATGAAGACGCGAGAAAAAATACCTGCACGACTCGCTGGTGTACTGGTATCGATTAAATTATTGCCCTCTGAAAGATCCATTTGCACAACTTGATTAATTTACGAACATTTACATCGGGAGATATTAAAATTTGAATGTTGTTCTCTTTCGCAGAAAATAGCTATCTTTTGTAATTAAAAGAATCTGCAAGTAAAGCTTTCTCCGCTGTGGTGAAGTTTATTTACGTGTTAAGTACAATTTTCTTCGTTAGCAGAGGATTACAGTATTTCTCGTAAAGATCGTGAAGTGTCTTATAAGCTGCGTATAGTTGGGGCCACGATATAGCGAGGTCGTAAATTAAACTCTCAAGAATCGGCACCGATTGATGTTGCGGCACTCAAGGCCGTGTGTTGCAGTCTGTTTAAGGGTTCCAACAATAAACAAATGGTAGCATATGATTTAGTACTTCAAGTAGAAAATGGTATTTCATTTACAAATGGAAAATATGTTAATATTAAAGCTACACAATCCTTTTAAAGACCTCAATAAGACCTTTACTTGTAACCGTACTTCCAAAAGCGGCTTCCCCCAGAGGGAGAAACCCTAATTTGTCCTAGCTGCATGCAGTTTTCAGTAAATATATTAGATTCAGTTGACTTTCGCTGGATACAAGAATTCTTCGTACGGTCCTGACAATGGTTTCAAGTACTTATCTGCTCGTATCTCTGTCAATTTTCGGGTCCCGGCAGCTAAAACATGTTTACTTTGACTATAGCTCGCTATATCGTGGCCCCGACTATACGTCGAACATATGCGTCGGTTGTATTCCATTATTCATCGTTGCAGCCTCTCTGATGTCAGATAAACGTAAATCTGTTTGTGTTAATATTGGTCCATTCAACCAAGCGTTAATATCTATTTAGCGTATTTTTCTGCTTCAACTGACCCCAGACAATGACCTATTGAGTACTCAGGATCTGAAGCACCTTTTCTGACCCACGTAATTCATTCATTACGACTCTCGAACCTCTTCACTTTCAACACTTCGAACATTTCTATGAAATATGTCGCGTTTCACCGGCAATAAACGATTATTTAAACGTTTAATTGTGTGTACATTGCGAGCATTGAATTTTCCGAAAGACACACAGTTTCTGAAATGGTTTCGCTAATGGACAACTCGATAATCGAGGAATCGTGAGTGCGTCGTAAGCTGTGAATAATAATAGAATACGTCCACGATTTCCAACCCTCTTACGAGATTCGTGCACGTTTCATTATGCCTATTAAAGTTCACCTCGTAATGTTCGCGAGATCAGAGGATGCTGCATTTGCAACGCGTCTCGCGTGTGGGTCACGGTCTGAAATCATCAAGGATCCTACTGCTGCACTTTGTTATACGCCTTATTACACTGCACATCGTCTCAGGTGCGAAAGTACCGCAGAGCACTTGTTATCGGGCAAGTGCGCTTCCGTTTGTATGGAAATGTTGGTCAAAATTATTTCACCAGCTTTAGAGGAGCCAGATGCACTTAATTATTTGATGAATAGTACTGTTTTACATGAAGACTCACAAGAAGAATAAAAAATTCAGAAATAAGCACAGTTACATGCATGATTTTTATTTCACCATGAAATTTTCACATTGAAACTCTCAATTTGAGAGTTACATATGTAAACGAGGAGAACGAGAATTTTCAGCAATTTTTCAATCATTTTTACATAATACTGTAGGAATGTTACTCATAGAAAATTAAAAATAATAACGATCGTATTTGAATAATAATAGAAAAAGAACAAAGAAATAAAAATCCTTATTCTGCCTAAATTCTGACGTCACAAATAAGGCCGTTGTATTTCATTTTAATAACAGAATAAGGAAAAAGCACTTTGTTGATTTTTAATTTTCAAGTATACCACTTTGCATTCTAGCCAGATTTTAAATAAAATACTTCACTGTACGAGGTAAAAAGAGATGGGTGACACTAGTCTTCTTCCGTCCGTGTCCACTTTTCTCTCAGATCATTAACGTCGATTTTCTAACTTCCTAAATATCTTCGAGTAATTATCCTATGGTCAACTATTCTCGTGGATAATGTTTGAACAGCTATACTACTATCTCTCCCCCATAGTCGATTATTCTCGTGGACAGTGTCCTCCAACCTGTGGTCAGCTAGGGTCACGTTCTTCGTCAGATCTTTTGGCTAATTTCCTAATAATTGTGAGAGGTTCTGAGAGACCAGTACCTCTCCACTATAGCAGTGACCTATGCCCATTCTGTGGTCGCCTTCAGCAAACTTCCTGATGATTCTAGGAGGTTTTTGAGGATCCATTTCCGTTTAATTAGTGTACTGGAGTTATCGCTTTCAGCAAAATACCTGATGGTTCTGGGAGGTTTCTAAAGATTAATTTTTGGTCAATTTAGGTACCGGACAGTGGTTACTTTCAGCAGAACATCTTGAAAAATCTACAAGGTTTCTCACGTTC